AGCCCTCAATCCACAGACGGACGCTCTATCCGCTGAGCCAAACAGGTTTAGGCTAAATGATGTTCTTTTTATCTGACACATATAGGAACAGAATTTTTAAGTGATGAAGTTGTTATACTAATAATGACACTGGGAGGTTGATTATCCTATTATCTCTACTTCGTATAACCTTTAAGATGTTTTTATCTTTATTGTTGAGAATATTACAGATGGCCCTCCTCTCAATTTTTCCCCTTGCCCTCCACAAACCAGTTCCCACTCTGCCCCAGGCTTTCACCCTGTTAAGGGGAAAAAAAAACCATTGAAACCTGTAAAGAATTTTTGTGAGTTTATTTGAGCCAAACTGTCACATACCTGGATTTGGGGCTTGATTCCCCATGTGTGAGTGTGTGTGTGTGGGGGGGGGGGGGAAGAAGGGGATGGATGGGGGGATGAATAGCGGGAGGAGTGGTGGTGGTTGTGCAGGAGGCAGTAGATTGTTTCTCACATCAATGCTTCACTCTGTCTGCCTCTCCCTTCCACTCTCACTAAAATAAAATAAAAATATATTGAAAAAATGAAAAATAAGACAATGTGCTGATACAGGATGGAAGTATGTGAAACATAGGCAGGTGTAGGATGTGTAGATTGCTCTCTTTTGAAAATATATAGGGACAATGTTCTCTATACAAACATAAATTAAGTCACACTCATATTTGCCCAAGTGAGCACTGGCCTTTCTTCCCCAGCACAGGGCACGCCCACCGCGGGCCTGTGACAGCCCCTCCGCACCCATAGGCCGCCCTCTCCCGACAGGAGAAATGGTGCTGCTGGGCGCTGGTCTGGATGGGAACCACAGGATGATTTTGTGAAGCAGAAAACGAGACAAGGACAAGCTGTGGAAACACCTCCTTCCAAGACAACCTCTAAAGAAACGGGCTGAGGCTTTTAGGCAATTTCTTTCTTTCTGGTTTTTTAAAACCTTTATTGAGGGAAGTATTACATATTTGCCTCTTTCCCTCCCATTGACCCCTTAGGGCCACTCTGACCCGTTCATTTCTCTTCCCCAGAGTGAAAGGAAACGGGGGCCAGGTTGCGCCCTTTGACCCGGATGTGGAAACACCTCTTTCCAAGATAACCTCTAGTAAAGAAACAGGCTGAGAGTTTTAGACAACTTCTTTCTATTTTTTTTTAAAAAAAAAAACCTTTATTGAGGGAAGTGTTACATATTTGCTCCTTTCCCTCCCATTGACCCCTTAGGGCCACTCTGACCCGTTCATTTCTCTTCACCAGAGTGAAAGGAAACGGGGGCCAGGTCGCGCCCTTTGACCCGGATGTGGAAACACCTCCTTCCAAGACAACCTCTAAAGAAACAGGCTGAGACTTTTAGACAATTTCTTTCTGTTTTTTTTTAAACCTTTATTGAGGGAAGTGTTACATATTTGCCCTTTTCCCTCCCATTGACACCTTAGGGCCACCCCTGACCCGTCCACATTCTCTTTACCAGAGTGAAGGAAATGGGGGAGGGGGGGAAAGAACCAGGTCGCGCCCTTTGACCCGGATGTGGAAGTCTCTGGCTTTGCGGGCGGAAGGAGCACACAGCGCCCCCTAGACCTCGAGGACCCGGCTCAGCGCTGAGCAGAGGCCGAGCGGAGCTGTAGGTGAGCGGGTCCCAGGCCGCGGGAGGGCGGGACTCAGGAGGACCAGCTGCGGGAGCGGGGGTGCGGGAGGCCGGGGCGGGGGTGCGGGAGGCCGGGACGGGGGTGCGGCCCGGCGACGGCGCTGGCGCCCCTTAGTGGTGGTGAGGGCGGCCATGGTGGAAATGGCCGCCAGGGCGCTGAGGGCTGCGGGGCGCGGTTCTCACTGGGCGTTTGGAACCCGTGCTCTGGCCGCTGAGTGGGTCCTGCGGTTCAGAGGAGGAGGCCGGAGGGGAAGTTCCGGCGGTGGCTGCGGAGGGACCCCTACTTCAGCCCTCCTTGCTCCCCCAACCCCCTCGGGGCCCCAGCCCAGGGAGCTGCGTCAAAGCCCCAGGGCTCCTGGTGAGGACATTGGGTGCCAGGCCCTGGGCTCATGGCTGTTCCACTTTCTTTATCCATGTACTCCCTGTTTAAGGGGTTGTTTTTAAAAATATATTTTTATTCGTTTCAAAGGGACGAGAGGGAATCATTGAATGGCTTCCTCCCGCGGGCCTCACACTGGGGATTGAGGCGTAACCCTGGCATGTTCAACTACTGAGCCACACTGGATGTGCTCTAGTTAAGGTTTTACACATGTGTTTGTATTTACTTAATTAAAGATGACATATTTACTGATATTTTAATGGCTTCATATGTTCCCTTTTTACTCTGCAACAAACTGTTTAATTTGTTTTGGTGAAATCATGAGGTATTCGGTTTTCCAAGGACTTCAAACTGAATTTGTACATTAAATGCATTTTGTCAGTGTTGAGAAAAATCAGCAGACCTACAATTAAATCATCCAAATAAGGACAATGCACCTCCAAGCAATTCTCTAAAAAGCAGCAGACACTGAGGTGAATTTGAAACTAGCTAGCTAGAGATAGTCAGACCCCACAGCATCAGATTCCCACTGCGGAAGCCAGTCCAAAGTCCAGGTTGCTACTTGTACTTCTGATCCAATAGCCTAAATCAGAGGTCACCACAACGCCCTCTTTGAGGTCCATTAATTTGCTAGTGGGGCTCACAGAACTCAAGCCTTTACTTGGGTTTACCACCTTTATTTCAAAGGATACAGATGACAAGCCAGATGAAGAGGTACAAAGGGAGAGATCTGGAAATATGTGGAGGGCAGGAGCTTCTATCCCTGTGGAACTGGAGTGTGCCACCCTCCTGGCATTTGCACATGTTCCTCAACACAGACTCTTCAAATCTCCAAAAGTTTGTATTGTTTTCATAGAAGTTAATCTCTAGTCCCCACCTAACCTCCCAGAATTCGGTGGGTGGGGCCCAAAGGTCTAATCTCATCAATTGGTCTTTTGGTGATCAAGCTACTGGGTGTCCATCTTGCCCCATGCAGTCACATCATTAAGGTAAGTTCAGATGTGCTCAAAGGGTGTTGCTAATAACTACTAAAATATACCCCTATCTACGCCAAAACCTGTTTGGCTCAGTGGTAGAGCGTCGGTCTGCGAACTGAAAGGTCCCAGGTTCGATTCCGGTCAAGGGCATGTACATTGGTTGCAGGCACATCCCCGGTAGGGGGTGTGCAAGAGGCAGCTGGGCAATGTTTCTCATCGGCGTTTCTAGCTCTCTATCTCTCTCCCTTCCTCTCTGTAAAAAAATCAATAAAAAATATATATTTTTTTTCTTTTCCTGGTTGTCCCCATGCTTTCGGCACAGAGTCATCCACATGAAGAATAACCCTGTTTCCTAAGCTGGGGGTTCCTTTCAGCTCACCACTGGAATGCACCAGCCAACGGGGGAGTAAAATATTTTTTTTAAAGAAAATCAATAAAAAATATATATCCCCCTATCACTCGGGAAATTTCAAGGGCTTTAGGAGTTCTGTACCAGAAATTAAGTGTAAAGAATAAGTATATATTTCTAGTTGTACCATAAAAGAAAAATGGAAATACTATGCAGAAATTCTTAAGTTCTGTGTCACACATATTCTTATTGTTTAAAACCACAAGTTTCAAGAGGTTTATTTATATTTATGCTGACACAAAACTGAAAGGGAACCTGAGTGTTACTTTCTTTGTTCCATCTGTTACTGAAAGAAAAGGTGATTAAAGAACCCACTCCAATGACACAGGTAGTCTGAGAATCAGATTTAGAATCCGACCCACATAACACAGAAGATGGAATTTTAATGCCTTCCTTGTCTTTCCTTAGTTTCAATTTCCTTAGTCTCAATTTGGGGAGATTTGAGTGTGGATGGGAAGTGGGAACACAGAACATGATGGATTTGGAGTGGAAGAGAAAGGGGGCCAGTTTGAAATATCCGTGAGGAAAAAAATAGATGGAATAGATCTGAGAGCTTTGAGATGAATAGAAAGAGGTGAAGTTTAAAGAAAGGAGTAGGAGAAAACTACCTAGAACAAAACAGAGAATTACAGAAATTGAATTAAAAGAACTTTTTAAAATCAAGGAATATTTTAGGAAAGGAGAGAGAATATTGTGAATTCAGGTGTGAAGAACCCAAGTACTATAATTATGAACTTTTTGCAACTCCTTACCTATAGTCCTACTAAGTTCTTGCTATTTCTGTGAAACAAATCTAAAGACATCAAAGGATTATACTCATAAATTTTTCATTATATATTTCTAAAAGAGACTTTACTTACAAACTTTTAATGCCATTCATTACCTCAACCTAACATAATCATTTTTAAATTGTTTTTATCTACAGATATCCAATTTACAAGTTAAATTTTGGCTAAGTATTTCAAAGTGAAATGAAATTAAGTTACTCTTTTTCTGATAGTTGAGGCCAATGATAAATTTCCTTACAATAATTAATTCATTTAGAGTTGGAAAATAGATTATAGTCTTCATTGGTAACTCCTCCTTAAATATTTTCCTGGTAAATAATTTCATTTACCATAGATACTTTTTCTTTTTAACATTTAAGGAAACATATTCTTTTTTTTGTTTTGTTATTTTATATATATATTTTCCCCCCATTTATTTCAGTGAGAAAGAGAGAGGGAGAGGGAGAGGGAGAGGGAGAGGGAGAGGGAGAGGGAGAGGGAGAGGGAGAGGGAGAGAGAGAGAGAGAGAGAGAGAGAGAGAGAAACATTAATGATGAGAGAGAATAATGGATTGGCTGATTCTTGCACATCCCCTACTAGGGGAAGCAGAGGATCGAGTCTGAAACCTGGGCATGTGCCCTGAGCCGGAATCAATCCCAGGACCTTCCAGTTCTCAAATGGATGCTCTGTTCACTGAGCCAAATCAGCCAGGGCACCAGAGGTACTTTTTCATACAGGGATGTAAAGATTGATTGCTGATTGAACTGTTCTTTAAATGTCAATATCATTCTGTTCACAGAAACCACATATGATTTAGATTGTGCTGAGGTTTTGACCACAAGATCTCCACAGCCCATGATCAATTGGGGGAAAAGGCATTAAATACAGGCAAGAGTGGCAGGAAATCTGGGCTTCAGCTGAAAAGTAGGACTCTTTTTGGACTCTCCTACTGCATTGTATACAGAGTAGACCTCACCTTCTCACTTTTCCTCACTCCTGGAGGATCACACTGACTGAAGAGACTGTCTTGGGTCAGACACCCTCACTGCACCATGGAGTCTGCAGCCACTCTGGCTGAGCTCCAGGCAGAGGCCAACTGCCCCATCTGCCTGGATTACCTGAGAGACCCAGTGACCATTGAATGTGGGCACACCTTCTGTCACTCCTGCATCTACCAGCGCTGGGAAGATCTACCGGGCACCTTTCCCTGTCCTGTCTGCCTCCATCATTGCCCTGAGAGGAAGTTGAAGAGGAACACCCAATTACGTCACATGATTGAAATTGTTAAACAGATTCCCACCACAGGGAGCGAGAGGAAATTGCAGGAAGAAAAACCCAGGTGTTGGAAGCATGATGAGGTTTTGACATTTTTTTCTGACAGGGCCCAGGAGATGTTATGTCCTCATTGCAAAGACTTCTTAAAGCACCAAGATCAGTCCCTGATACCCATTGAGGAAGCTGCTGCTAGTTATAGGAGGGACCTCAAAAGATATATTGGGGCGCTGATGGTAGAGGTTGAAGATGCTGAAACAGAATATGAAAACCAAATTGCAAAAACTTTTGAAGTGCAGGAAAAGATGGAAAAGTGGAGGAAAGAATTGCAGTATGAATGTAAAGAACTAAAGTGTTCCTTACAAGTTGAGCATAATGTATGTAATGCTGGTCTACTTATAGAAGAGAAGAATGTTGAAGAAAAGCTAACTGAAAATGGAAGGCAAATTTCAAACTGTATGTTCATACTAAAAAAGCTTTTAAGTGAAATAGCAGAGAAGTATTTGCAAGCAGATGTAGATTTACTCACAGGTATTGAAAGGATCCACAGCAGGTATGAAAACCTAGAAATCCCAGCAGTGTTTTCATGTGAATTAAAGAAGAAGGTTTTCACTCTCCCCGCACATTATTTGGGCCTGCATAAAATGATCCGCACGTTTCAGGTAGATTTGACACTGGATCCTGAAACTGCCCATCCAAGTCTCATTATCTCAAGAGATAGAAAAAGTGTGACATATAAGACACCAGATGGTTTTCCTAATCCCCAGGCACACACTTCTTACCCAGCTGTCCTGAGTTCTGAGGGATTTGATGGTGGCAGGCATTTTTGGCAGGTGGAAGTAAGAGGCACAGGTGAATGGTCCTTAGGTGTGTGTAAAGAATCTTTCCCCAGAAATACTCTCATATCACCATTGCCAAGCAATGGATGCTGGCGATATCAGCAGCAGGCTGGTATATTTGGCCTTTTCCCTAGAGGACAACATAAGATTGGCATTTTCCTGGACTATGATTTGGGAGAGGTTTCATTTTATAATTTGAATAACAGGTCATACTTGTATGCATTTACTGACATATTTACAGAGAAACTCATGCCTTATTTCTCCATTTCATCTTCTTCAAAAACTCTTACAATTAGTATCACCAGAGTCTAGTGATGAAAAATTTGGAAGATATTTTGCATGTGCTTATTTTTGTCCCTCTTTATTGAAAGGAATACTTAGAATAAAGATCCTGATTCCAGTTTTGAAGTTTGAATGTTGAAAGGTTTAAGGACTCTCCATTCTCTCCCCCCTGACCTTTACCTGGGAAATCTGATGGGAAAGACCAGGTGCTCCATCCTTGGGTGCAGGTGGGAAGTTCCATTCAAGCAAGTTTCCATCAGTGTGGGCAGGCTACCAGCAACAGCACACAGTAACCACCATGAACCCCACAAGCTAGTCCCTTTTCTCTGGTCTCCCAGTCATTTTGGGACCTAGTCTAATATCCACCTTTCTCTCTCCCAAACCTTACCATGTGAGCAATAAACTTTTCATAATCTTTTGGTATGTAGTGAGTCATCATTATTGTGAATTGAAATCAATTTTGGATGGCTTCCACCCTGCCTATGCAAGCTGGTCACCACCATTGACATTGTGAGCAGGATTTTCTCCTCCACTTTGTGTGGTAACACACCCGGTTCCCTAGGCAAGGGTGTCTTTGCAGTTTGTGATGCATTTGCTGAGTCCGGGAGGCTCTGTTGTAATTGAACTGACCTAAGTCAGAAGTTTCTATAAGAATCACATTCTATTGACTATTATTTTCCATGTAATATTTTTTGGAATTCTAATTGTCTTGCTTTTGTCTAATGTTTTATAATATTTTGTCTCATGTTTTATAGAAATTTCATCTGCAGGGCTGTGAAAAACCAGGCTGACAGTAGTGTTACAAATACGCACAGTAATTAATAAAAAATATACAAGAATAAACTTTTGCATGCTAACAACTGTGATCATAACTTTATTTTAAAATTCTCACCTGAGCCTAGACAGTGTGGTTCAGTGTTTGAGCATAAACCTATGAACCAGGAGGTCATGGTTCGGTTTGATTCTCAGTCAGGGCACATGCCCAGGTGGTGGGCTCAATGCACAATGTGGGGTGTGCAGGAGGCAGCCTCCCTCTCCCTCTCCATTCCTCTCTGTAATTAATAAAAATATATTTAAAATAAAATAAAATTCTCACCTGATGATGTTTATTCACACACACCACAGAGAGAGAGAGAGAGAGAGGGAGAGGAAGGGACAGAGAGAGGTGTGGAAGAGAGAGAAACATTGATGTGAGACAGAAGCATCTATCATTTACTTCATGAACTCAACCTGACCTGGGATTGAACTCCAAGCCTATGTGCTCTGACTGAGGATCAAACTTGCCAACTTTTTGTTGTATGACAAGACATTCCAAGGAACTGAGCTATTTGCCCAGGGCTATACACCTACAATTTACAACCACTGTATGACCTGCAAAGGTGACATATTCATTTTTGATCTTATGTAAAATTGTCAACCTTTGAAACATGCTTCTGTATGGTTGTCTGTTATGGTATTGTTTACAATGTTTGGAAATAAAGTTTTACTTAGTATATCTCTGTACTATTTGTCTCTCATAACTTGAAAAGATGCTCAGCAGAGCTTTTATTGAGGAATCCATGCTATGCTGTAGTGACTCAGATGCTTACTTCTTGTGAGGTGTAATGTATGGCAGCAGGGCACTGCTCCATTACCCACCCAGGGATCTAACTCCCTCAGTTGTGTTGTCACAGCACTGTGTCAGAACAACTAGAGAAAGAGGGAGCACTGAATGGCCACCTTGAGCATTGAAGGCCAACACCAGGAGGAGACACACAAAAATAGTTCTTAAGATCTGTTTGTTAAAAATGTTTTTATTGATTTTAGAGTGTGGGGAAGGGAGAGGGGGAGAGAAAAAAAATAAACACTATCATTTGCCTCCTATACATGCTACAACTTGGGATTGAAACTGCAAACTGGACATGTGTTCTGACCAGTAATTAAACTGGCCACCTTTTGGGACATGAGACAATGCTCAGCCACCTGAGCCACACTGGCCAGGGCCCTAGGAATTACTTAAATGAATGGTGTGGCATGTGTGAGAGACAGTGGTGGCATTATGGTATGTTTGCAGCACAAAATCACAAAAGCAATTCACATGTAACAATCTTTCAACAGGCACAAATTCAATTGCTATGGTTACTTAACCCAAGTACATTACCGGTTTAGATTTCAGTTAAACATGGCATATGAACTGTAATTCTTTTTTTCTTTTTTTTTGAATTGCAATTCTTTTTTTCTTTTTTTAAATATATTTTTATTGAGTTTTTACAGAGAGGAAAAGAGAGGGAGAGTTAGAAACATCAATCAGCTGCCTCTTGCACACTCCCTACTGGGGTTGTGCCCACAACCAAAGTACATGCCCTTGACTGGAATTGAACCTGGGACCCTTCAGTCCACAGGACGCTGCTCTATCTACTGAGCCAAACCGGTTTCAGCTGTAATTCTTAAAGTAGGAATAATATGGACCCAGAGGGTGGGGTCTCAGTCCCAGAGGATTACTCTCCTCAGTAGTTCATCACTTACAAAGTGTGCCTTCCACATCATGGTACCACACAACTATGTCTTCTGGCCCTTTACAACAACAGTCACCTTTCTTCAGTGTCATATAACACCTTCCTCATTCTCCTCTGTGTTGTCACCAAAGGACCTTTCACATTCATTTTTCTACTGACATTTTCCAGAAAATATATGTCTTTTTCAGGGCTTTTTAAATTTTTTTTGGTAATGATCTATAAATCCTATTTCAGGGTGTAGCAAAGGTTAGAAGACAGAAACACTTTGTGGAGGGAAACAATCCCAAAGGAATTGACTTAAGGAGATGATTGTTCTACGTTGATGGTATCTTTTAGAATAGAAAATTTTAGGAATTTGTATGCTGGTCTCTTTTAGTCACTGAACAAAAATCAGTCTTATACTGATAGGGGGAACTTAAAATCTAATAGATAAAGCATCTGTATTAATCTGAAAAACGATCATATTTAAATCTTAGAACACATATATTTACATAAATGGGGGTTACGTTTCTTAATAGGGAGTTAAGTTTTTCTTTAAGTTTCCTTTTCAAAGCTTGTGTGAAGTGCCAAAACCGGTTTGGCTCAGTGGTAGAGTGTCGGTCTGCGGACTTGAAAGGTCCCAGGTTTGATTCCAGTCAAGGGCATGTACATTGGCTGTGGGCACATCCCCGGTGGGGGGGGTGCAAGAGGCGGCTGGTCAATGTTTCTCTCTTATCGATGTTTCTATTGTAACTCTCTCTCCCTCTCCCTTCCTCTCTGTAAAAAATCATATATATAGCTTGTGTGAAGTGACTGGGGAGGGGATTCAACTGTGAATCCAACAAGCATAACCCACTAGCATGGTCAAGCCAACCCACTAGGAATCAAAACATCATCTCATCAGCATCAGCATCTGGCCTGATGACTAATTACAAGAACTGATGCCTGAGGACCCCCAGACCAGCAGGTTGCTGCATTCCTCACCCCAGCCTCTTTCCCTTCATAAATCCATCCCTGAATCTTGCTGGGAGGCAGGATTTGATTCTTGTAAGCACCCTGTCTTCTTGGCTGTCTAGCCTTCTCAATAAACACCTAATATGATTCAACCCTACCATCATTATTGGACACAGCGACAGGCAGCCTGATCCCACCCAAGGTGTCCTGGTAACAATACCTGAGCTTACTAACTCAATTGAAATAGTGGTTAGCGATTTCATTGCTCATCTAGCAGCAAAGTCACTTGAATACTATTTCATTTTTATGTCACTTTGCTTAATGACTGTCTTGGCAATGAGATTGACTAGAATCAACTGTGATTCTGTACGTGTTTTGTTTCATAGGAATCAGTCTTTCATGGATTGCTAACATAAATGTTTGAATTTTTAGTTAAAATATATTTTACATATTTATTTCAGAGAAGTTGGGAAAAGGAGGGAGAGATAGAACCATCAAGAATAAGAGAGAAACATGGAAAGGCTGCCTTCTGCACCAGCTTCAAAGGATCAAGTGAGAAAACTAGGCTTGAGCCATGACCAGAAATCAGACCTTGACCTCTGGTTCATAGATCTATGCTCAGACACTGTGCCACACTGACTGGGCAAATGTTTGATATTAAAAGAATGTGGAGGGTGTCAACCATAATTGAAAATAAGTGATAGCCCTCGCTGGTTTGGCTCAGTGGCTAGAGGATCGGCCTGCTGACTGAAAGGTTCCAGGTACGATTCTGGTTAAGGACACAGGATCAGGTTGCCGGCTCAGTTCCAAGTGGGGGTGTGCAGGTGGCAGCTGATCAATGATGATGTTTCTTATCGGTGATGTTTCTCTCTCTTTCTCCCTCTCTTTTCTTCTTTGAAATCAAGAAAAATGTACTAAAAAACAAAACAAAAAAAAAACAAAAAAAACCCACAAAAACCCCACCAATAAAAACCAACAACCACACACACCTAAAAGCACAGCATTAGCCGAAACTGGTTTGGCTCAGTGGTAGAGAGTCTGTTTGTGGACTGAAAGGTCCCGGGTTCGATTCCGGTCAAGGGCATGTATTATACCTTGGTTGCGGGCATATCCCCAGTAGGGGGTGTGCAAGAGGCAGCTGATCGATGACTCTCTCTCATCGATGTTTCTAACTCTCTATCCCTCTCTCTTCCTCTCTGTAAAAAATCAATAAAATATATTTAAAAAAATAAAAGCACAGCATTAAAAAAAATTAACAAAAATGAAACTGGTAAATTTTTGTAATTCAATATAAACACCATATTCCCTAATTAGCAATATGACCAAAATTAATTTATAAAGAATTTTAGAGCTCAAAGAAGCTTCTTGCTGAAAGTAACTAGGCTGGGATTTGAAGAAAGAATGCCAGTGCAAGGGGTAAACAGTGCATAAGGGGCAAGGGGCTGCCACGGACCAACCTGCCTGTGCAAAGTGCTGTGGCAGAGGGTGCCAGGCCCTGAGTGTGGGGAGAGAGGGCAGGACTGCAGAGTGCTGGGGATGACGGGGTGAAAGTGGTGGGCTTCTCACATTCCAAGGTGGGAAAAGAAATGGGCCTCCCTTAGCCTTCAGGCATCTACTTTTTTTTTTTCTTAATATATTTTATTGATTTTTTACAGAGAGGAAAGGAGAGAGATAGAGAGCTAGAAACGTCGATGAGAGAGAAACATCGACCAGCTGCCTCTTGCACACCCCCTACCGGGGATGTGCCCGCAACCAATGTATATGCCCTTGACTGGAATTGAACCTAGGACCTTTCAGTTGGCAGACCGACGCTCTACCACTGAGCCAAACCGGTTTCGGCAGGCGTCTACTTCTTAATGAGCACAGATGAGATTAAAGGCTGTTGAGAAGGCGGGCATGGAATCCTAAAATTTCAGATTAGATCATGCAGATGAAGATCTGCAGGCCTCTGCTGAGCAGATTATCTCAAAGAAGATTCACCGCCTTCCACCAACCAGGAACTCAGAACAGCTGCTAAGCCCCACCTGGCACATTTCCCTCCTCCAGGGTGGAGCCTGATGGAGGGAAATCCTCCTAGCTCCACCCTCCTAGCAGTGTTTATAGATGCCAGGGTCACAGCACTAACCTCACAACTGGTACAAGACGCATCCCAGACCCTTCCTGGAGACTCAGTCCACAGACTGGCCCACAGAAAGCTGGCACCAGGTGAGTTGGGGATTCAGGCAGAGTATGTGCTCAAGGGAAGTGTGAGTCTGTGAGAGCCTTGTGTTCCTATGCGGCCGCTCTAGCAGGTCATGGACCTCAACAGGCAAGTCAATCCTAGCTTGGATTCAGGTAAATATAAAGACACAGGCCTTTATTATTGTGGAAGTTTTTATGTGAGCCAGACCTAAATCCTCTAAGTACCTGGTAAAAAACAGTTACTGTGACCCCCATCTGATCTAAGGGGTGACTAACAGGGGTGTGTGATAAAGTGCCCAGAAGTGCTGGGCTGAAGCCTGTGTGGATCACTTTCCAGAATGTTAGGTGAGTCTAGTGATCAATTCTTATTTTTTAAGACCAGAGGTTCCAAGAGATTAACCTAAATTGAAGTGTATTCTGACTCCAACCTGACAGGGAAGCTGAGTGTTATGTTTCATGTGTCTCTGAAAGAATAGGGGATCAAAAATCCATCCCCAATGACACAGGCATTAAATTCAGTCCTGAAATCCAGCCCACATAACCTACAAGCAGATAGAATTCTAATGCCAACCTTGGTGTTTCCTTAATCTCATTTTATCTTCATAGAAGAGATTTGTTGGGTGGGAAGGAAGTGAGAGCAGGGAAGAAGATGATGGATTTGAAGTGGAGGGAAAAGGGGACCAGTTTGAAACAACTGTGAGGAAGGAAGGAGATTAAATGAATTTGAGAACTCAGAGATGAAGGGACATGGATGAAACTTATGGAAGAGAATAGGAGAAAAATTTTTTGGCTGTTAGAGAGCAGAGAAACACTGAAATAGAATTCAAAAGGTCAGTTTAAAAAGTTATAGAATATTCTAGGTATCCAGAATTGGAGAGAAAATATGAACTCATGCATGAAGAACCCATATGATATAACGAATCTTTTTCACTTCTACCTATAGCTGTACCATCCTTTCCCCATTTCTGTGCAGGACATACCTGTGATTTTACTTTCTAAATTTTTATTATATAGTTTTAAAAGTGATTCTTAATTTACATAGTTATATGTTAAAATATTTTAAAAAATTATTTTACTTTAAAAATGTGGTTTGGAACTAGGAAGCAGCGGCTGCCTCTGGACGCTCTCAAGATGGCGACTTCTCTGGGTTCCAACACCTACAACAGGCAGAACTGGGAGGATGCGGACTTCCCCATCCTGTGCCAGACGTGTCTTGGAGAAAACCCGTATATCCGAATGACCAAAGAAAAGTATGGGAAGGAATGCAAAATCTGTGCCAGGCCATTCACAGTGTTTCGCTGGTGCCCCGGAGTCCGCATGCGTTTCAAGAAGACTGAAGTGTGCCAAACCTGTAGTAAACTGAAGAATGTCTGTCAGACTTGCCTCTTGGATCTGGAGTATGGCCTGCCCATCCAAGTTCGTGATGCAGGGTTGTCTTTTAAGGATGACATGCCAAAATCAGATGTCAACAAAAAGTACTACACACAGAATATGGAGAGGGAGATTTCTAACTCTGATGGAACACGGACAGTTGGCATGCTGGGGAAAGCCACATCCACCAGTGACATGCTGCTCAAACTGGCCCGGACCACACCCTACTACAAAAGGAATCGACCCCACATTTGCTCCTTCTGGGTGAAAGGAGAGTGCAAGAGAGGAGAGGAATGTCCATATAGACATGAGAAGCCTACAGATCCAGATGACCCCCTTGCTGATCAGAACATTAAAGACCGATATTATGGAATCAATGACCCTGTGGCAGATAAGCTTCTAAAGCGGGCTTCAACAATGCCTCGTTTGGACCCGCCAGAGGACAAGATTATCACCACACTCTATGTTGGTGGTCTGGGCGATACCATTACTGAGACAGATGTAAGAAATCACTTCTACCAGTTTGGAGAGATTCGGACGATCACCGTGGTGCAGAGACAGCAATGTGCTTTCATCCAGTTTGCCACAAGGCAGGCTGCCGAAGTGGCTGCGGAGAAGTCCTTTAATAAGCTAATTGTCAATGGCCGTCGACTTAATGTGAAATGGGGAAGGTCCCAAGCAGCCCGAGGAAAAGAAAAAGAGAAAGACGGAACCACAGACTCTGGCATCAAGCTGGAGCCCGTCCCAGGCCTGCCAGGAGCTCTTCCCCCTCCTCCTGCAGCAGAGGAAGAAGCCTCTGCCAACTACTTCAACCTGCCCCCCAGTGGCCCTCCAGCTGTGGTGAACATCGCCCTGCCACCACCGCCTGGAATTGCCCCACCCCCACCTCCAGGTTTTGGGCCACATATGTTCCACCCAATGGGACCACCACCTCCTTTCATGAGGGCTCCAGGACCAATCCACTATCCTTCTCAGGATCCTCAGAGAATGGGAGCTCATGTTGGGAAACACAGCAGCCCCTAGCACATTATCACCATTCTGGGGCTCTACAGAAGACAGAGCGCTTAAAAATCCCAGTAAACGAATCTTGGAATAAATATATTTTTTCTTCCTTTGTAGTTTCCATAGTAGCTGAATGTGTTCAGATGTGGGCATTCAGAAAACAATAGCCATGCTTTGATTGATGGACCTCAAATAAGCTGCCATTGACACATCTGATTACTACTATAAGGTTACTAATAAAACTTAATGCCTGCTCCCCTTCTATGGGGAGCAAGCAAAGGCGTGAATTGGAATATGCAATGGAGTTACCATCCCAATTATATGTTTATTTTGTATTAATATTTTGGAGGGGGGGGTGCATTAACCTACGGAAAGAATCTTTTGACCATTTTTATGTCCATTAGGTATTTTCCTTTTTATCATCTAAAAAGAGATTACTAGTACTAATCATTGTAGTGGCGTAAGTGTGATTTAACACTTCTGAAGTCACACCCTCAGAAAGACAAGTGGAATCCAGCAGGCAGCTCTGCCCAGGTCTCTTCTTAACCTCTCCTTCCCTCATTGATTACTAAAGGAATCTGGCTAATAGTTTTACTTCTCTATGCTACCAAGAGAGACAAATAAAAACTACTTTGCATTCCTTTTGGATGGAAACAAATGTCAAAAAGCTGTGTATCATTGAAGAAACCTGGTGTCTGGGATGAAATTATTTTAAAGAACTTCCTGTAAAACACTTAGACTGAAATGAAAAGCTTTGGAGTGTGTTTGAATGGAAGACTTGTGACCTCAGCTGGAACTTTGATCTTCAGCATTCACTCCGTGTCTCTCATTTTAATTCCCCGCTCTGGGCAGGGAATTCTGTTTGGTCTTAGAATGTTTGGATACAATCGAATTGTAGATGTTAAAACATAATTTGATGTTGTGTTTGTTTTTAAAAAAATTAAAACGGGTCTGTTTTCCAGAAGAAAAAAAAATAAATAAAAATGTGGTTTGTTAGGGATAGGAAAGAAAGACACACACAGAAAGATAGAGAGATTGAGTAAGAGGAAGTTACATTGATCTATTGTTCCATTCAGTCATGCTTTCATTGTTTGCTCCTTCTTAGCGCCCTGACCTGGGATCCAACCTTGTTATATTGGTACCAAGGGAGCTACCGAGCAGGGCAATTTACATACTTCTACTGAGATTGAATATCTCAGTGTAACATAATTATTAGTCAGGTATTTCTAAACCTTAAATATACAACTTTCAGTTAAATTCTGGCCAAATATTTCAAAGTGAAATGAAATTAGATTGATACATGTTAACGTATCAATAAGCCTTTTAAGTCTATTTTAATTCCTACAAACACCTCCTTCCAGGTGTTTTTTACTTCCTCTTTATACTTGTGTTGAGGCAACATGATTGAATTTTCAATTGAGTTTATTATAATCCAGATTATACTGATTATTTCCTCGGTGTATTATTAAAGGTTTGCCAGAGAAACCGAAGCGATAGTCTGGATCTGGAAAGATATTTATTAAAAAGCAGTGTCCCACAAGGTTTTGGATCCTGAGATATCCCATGGTCTGCCATCTGCCAGCAGGAAAGACAGTGGTATAGATGGAAGGCCTGAGAGTCTGAGAGCAGATGGTACAGATTCCAGTAGGGGTGTGAGGGGCTGAGAACCAGCAGCACCCAGGACAGGAGGTGGGTGTGCTAGCTTGTTCAGTCCAGCAGAGAGTGAATGCAGCCTCGCCCAGTTTTTGTTCTCTTCAGGCCCTCAGTGGAGTGGATGATCCCCATTGACATTGGGCTGGGCCATCTGCTTTGCTCATCCACTCATTAAAATACTAAGGTCTCCCAGAATTCTCCTTAGAGTCACACCCAGAACTAGTGTCCACCTGCTGTCTGGCTGTGCAAGGGACAAATCAAGATGGCATGTTAAAATTGAAACAGGTGAAGAAAATTTTCACATATTTCTCCATGCCTTATATTTCATATAAATAGTTGGTTTGGAACATGTTTGATGACATTTAGTTTTATATTCTGGAAAACAAAACTTTTTAAAGTATATTTTGAATGACTGTAGAGGAAGGGCAAGGAAGAGAGAGATACAAACATCAATGATGAGAGAGAATTATTGATTGGCTGCTTCCTGCATGCCTGCTTCTGGGGATCAAGCCCGAAATCTGGGAATGGAACCCAGAACCCTTCCAGTTCGAATTCTGACACTCTATCCACAGAGCCAATCCAGCCTGGGCTAGAAAACAATTCTTCAGAAATAATGTTATGTCATCTCTTCAATAGTTATCTTGTTTGTGTTTGTCACTCTTTCTGTGATATTTGTGGTCAATGATCAATTTTCCTAATATTATTTCTTTAAAGTTGCAAAATGTTTCTTAGTTTTTATTATAAACATCTCCTTAGATATTGTCATGATAAATGATTTTGTTTACCTGATGTTACTGCTGCTTGAACAGCCTTTTAAATGGCAATATCATTTGTCCACAGAAACCGCATATGACTTGGATTGAGCTTGGTTTTTGACCAGGAGCGCTCTACATCCCTTGTGCAACGTGGTGTTAAATACAGGAGAGGGCGGCAAGAAGACTGGACAGCAGCTGGTGGCTGGAACTCTTCTTGGAAACTCCTAGTGCCTTCTACAGAGAGGGAGGCCTGAGCAGATCTCAGCTTTTCACTTTTCCTCACTCCTGGAGGATCACTCTTCTGATAGACACCCTCACTGCACAATGGCCTTTGACGCTTCCCTGGCCAACCTCCAAGTGGAAGCCAGCTGCCTCATCTGCCTGGATCACCTGAGAGACCCCGTGACCACTGAGTGTGGGCACAACTTCTGTCCCTCCTGCATCCACCAGCGCTGGGAAGGTCTACGGGGCACCTTTCCTTGTCCTGTCTGCCTCCACCACTGCCCTGACAGGAGCTTGAAGAGGAACCCCCAATTATGTGATATGATGGAGATTGTTCAGCAGATGCCCACCTCAGGGAGCCAGAGGAAACTGCAGGAAGAAATACCCCTGTGTGGGAAGCACAATGAGGTACTGACCCTGTTCTGTGAGAAAAACATGGAGCTTCTATGTGCCCAGTGCAGGGTCTCCTCCGACCACCAGGATCAGCACCTGATCCCCATTGAGGAAGCTGCAGCTAGTCACAGGTGGATGCTCAAAAGGCACATTAGAGACCTCACTAATAGCTTTAAAAATGCTGAAATTGTATATAAAAAACAAGTTGCAAATACTTGGGAAGTGAAAAGAAAGACGAAAAAATGGAGGGAGGAATTGGACTTTGAATGTGAAGAATTTAAGTGTTTCTGGGAAACAGAGCGACAGGAAATTGATAACAATCTACTTATAGAAGAGGAGGATGTTGAAGAAAAACTAATTGAAAATGGAAGGCAAATTTCATACCACATGTTCAGGCTAAGCAATCTGTTAAGTGAAATAGAAGACAACTGTTTGCAGACAGACCTGGACTTACTCACGGACATCGAAAGGATCCACAACAGCTATGGAAACTTAGGGACCCCAGCAGTGTTTTCATGTGAATTAAAGAAGGAGTCTTACAATACCCCCCCACATTATTTGGGCCTGCATAAAATGATCCGCACGTTTCAGGTAGATTTGACACTGGATCCTGAAACAGCCCATCCAAGTCTCAATATCACAAGTGATAGAAAAAGTGTGACCTTTAGGATATCAGAGGATCTTTCTAATCCACACACACTTACTGCTTACCCAACTGTCCTGAGTTCTGAGAGATTTGATACTGGCAGACATTTTTGGATGGTAAACATAAAAGGCACAGGTGAATGTTTATTAGGTGTGTGTAAAGAATCTATCTCCAGAGATACTCTCATATCACCATCCCCAAACAATGGATGCTGGCAATACCAGCAGAAGACTGATATATTTGACCTTTTCTGTACAGGAGAACATCACATTGGCGTTTTTCTGGACTATGAGTTGGGAGAGGTTTCATTTTATAATTTGAATAACTGGTCATTCTTGAATGGATTAAGTGATACCTTCTCAGAGAAACTCATGCCTTATTTCTCCATTGCACCTTCTTCAGAATCTCTTACAATCAGTATCATCATAGTCTAGTGATGAACAATTTGGGGGAAATTTTGTATGTGCTTGTTTTTTCCTTTTTTTATTGAAAGGAATACTTAGAATCAAGATCCTGATTCCTCTTTTGATGTTTGAATGTTGAAAGCTTTAAGGACTCACCCTCCTTTCCTCCCTGAGTTTCTTATGTGTTAATAGGTAATTACGTTTTTCGTCAAGATTCCTTTTCAAGGTCTGTGGGAAGGAATTGGGGAGGTGAGTCAGCTGAGAATCCCACAATTAGAACCCTCAAACATGGTCAGGCTGATCCACCAGGAGTCAAACCAACATCTCATGGCCTGATGACTAGTTATAATAGCTGAAGTCTGAGGACCCCCCCAGGCCAGCAGGTAGCTGTATTCCTCGATACCCAGCCCCTTCCCCTTTGTAATCCTTTCCCCTGAACCTTGCTGGGAGGCAGGATTTGATGCTTGTAAGCACCATGTCTTCTTGGTTGGCTAGCCTTCTAAATAAACACCTAATATGATCCAACCTTGCCTTCTTTATTGGACACAGCGACAGGCAGCCTGAGCCCACACAGGGTCCCCTTGTAACAATACCTGAGCTTACCAACTCATTTGAAATAGTGTTTAGTGATTTCATTGCTCATCTAGCAGCAAAGTCACTTGAATGCTATTTCATTTTTATGTCACTAGTTTTTGCATTGTAGCAATCATTCTTTTTTAGATTGGTAATATGTAATAAAATGTTTCAATTTTTAGTTAAAGTATGTCTTATGTATTGATTTAAAAGAGGGAGGGATAGGAAAGAGATAGAAAAGTGGAGAATGAGAGAGAATCATGTAAAGGCTGCCTCCTGCATGACCAGATCAAGTGGGAAATGCAGGCATGTGAATATAAATGCCAGGGTCACAGCACTAACTTCACAAATGGTACAAGACGCATCCCACACCCTTCCTGGAGACTCAGTCCACAGACTGGCCCACAGAAAGCTGGCACTAGGTGAGTTGGGGATCCATACAGTATGTGCTTAAGGGAAGTGTGAAGAGCCTTGGGTTCCTATGTAGCCATCTGCTCCTTTCTCTTGTTCCCTGGGATTTAACTAGCTCTAGCTTCAATCACCTACAAGAATTCCTGAGATCTCCGGTCCCCAGCCAGCTCCTCCCCTCCAGGACCCCTTGGTGGGGAGGGGCTAAGGAGCCCATGAGAGCTTATAGGTGTACAGAAGCATGGGTCAGGAGCACCGGGGAGCCTCTGAGTCCCCTGCTTGCTCCAAAAGCACACAAAGGAGAAGACTGCTGTAGCTTCAGGTCCATAAGGAACTGGAGTAAAAGCAGGAAGAGTCCTATACCCAGGGCATAGCCTGTCAGCAGGGGCCATCTCTGTGGATGCTCCAGGGCTGCGCACACAGCAGGGAAACCCATGTAATTGCAAAAGGAGTGGCAGAGAACTCGCCCCATCAGGTGTCCTGTACCGATGAAGAGGAAAGCAGTGTAGGCACCAAAGACAGCTGTGTAGGAGAACTGGAACACTGCAGACAAGAAGATGCTCCCCACACTGCTCTGACGGAATTGAAACTGCTCAAAAATGTGGTGAAAATGGGCAACTCCAAAAAATAGTGGGCAGGTGAACACGGCAGGGTGCAGGCCCTTACACGGTGCTAACATGGGCTGCATGCAGGCCCGGTACACCAGCTCCTCTGTAAGGGGCACAATCACTTGGTTCCGAAGCCAACGCATATCCATGAGGCAGCGGGCCCAGGAGCGAGGGGCTAAGACAACCTTTAACCCATCTGCCAGGTCACAGGGGCAATCCACTGAGAGTTGCATCAGTGGGTCCAGAAAAAGGATCATGGTCAGCAGCAAAGGCAGCAGTGCTGCCAGGAAAATGCCCTCCAGCCTGAAGCCCATCAGCGTGAGCAAGGATGTGCCTGGCTGAGCCACAGGAAAGGAAGCATCAGTCTTGCTCCCTCCCCCAAAGACCCCTGAGGTCTCTCCCCTGTTGCCCTCTGCCCCGCCTCCTTTGTACCGGGATGCCTGTGAGTTCCCTCCAGAGTAGCACACAGAGGGGCGAAAGACTGGACACCACTAGGACACTGGTGAAGCGCCGCTTGATGATGGCAGGGTGGTCCCTGGGCAGCTCGCTCTTCCAGACGTAGAGGCTGCCCACATAGGAGCAGGAGAGGCTGAGACAGGTGAACACAGACACCCAGCAGCACAGCCCGGGGCCCGAACCTCCCAGAGCCGCTGACTTGGGCTGCCGCTCGGGTCTTGACAGCAGACTCGACCCGTCCCCGCCCAGCACCGCCATGGCGCGCCCTCACTTGATTTTTAGATTCAATTCTTTTTTTAAAAAATATATATTTTATTGATTTTTTTTTTTTTTTTTTTTTTTTTTTTTTTTTTTTTTTTTTTTTTTTTTTTTTTTTTTTACAAAGAAGGGAGAGGGAGAGTTAGAAACAACGATCAACTGCCTCCCGCACACCTCCTACTGAGGATGTACCTGCAACCAAGGTACATGCCCTTGACTGGAATTGAACCTGGGACCATTCAGTCTGCAGGCCGACACTCTATCCACTGAGCCAAACCAGTCCCTAGTTGTAGTGATCCGTGCTGTGACAACCCATGACTGGGGGAGTTAGATCCCTGGTTGAATAATGGAACCGCGCCTTGCTGGCCTACATTACACTTTACAAGAGTAAGCACCTGAGATACCACAGCAGAACAGGGCGACTCTGATCAATGCAGAGGTCACTTGTACCTCAATGGGAGCTCTGCTCAGCATCTTTTCAAGATATGTTTGATAGACAAATAGTACAGAGATAGGCAGAGTAAAACTTTATTTCCAAATATTGTAAACAATACACATACAGGCATACAAACAGAAGCATGTTCTCAAAGGTTGGCAATTTCCCATAATTCAAAAATGATTATGTGACCTTTTGAGGTCATACAGGGATTGTCAAAGGCAGTTTTACAGCCCTGGGTGGGTGGCCCAGTTTGTTGGAATGTGGTCTCCTACACAAAACAAACAAACAAAAAAAACTAGCAGATTTTATCCCTATTCAGGGCACATAAGTATCAGGTGCAATTCCTGGTCAGGGTGAGTATAAAAAAGCAACAGATTGAGGTTTTCCTCTCTCTCCCTCTTTCTGTAAGTCAATAAACTTATCACCAGGTGAGGATTTAAAACAAAAGTGTGTTTACAGTGGTTAATATGAAACAGTTTCTTATGTTATTTATTAATTGCTGTACATATTTGTATCCCTCCTGCCAACTTGCTTTTGCTCAGCCCTGTACATAAAAATTTTATAAAACACTCGAGGCCTGGTGCATGAAATTGTGCATGGATAGAGTACCTAGGCCTAGCCGGCAATAGGAGCTCATTGAGGTCTTCTAGGGCCTTTCTTCAAGCTCCCAGCCAAGGCCTCCCTTCCCTGGCTGCTGGCTACTGCCCTGGGCATTCCTTAGTTTTGCGCCGCCCCCTGGTGGTCAGTCCACATCATAACAAGCGATTGAACTGGTGGAGCTTCTGTGGGGACAGTTTGCATACTAGCCTTTTTAATTTTTTAAAATATATTTTTCTTGATTTTACACAGCGAGGAATTGAGAGGGATAGAGAGTTAGAAATGTCGATGAGAGAGAAACATAGACCAGCTGCCTCTTGCACACCCTCCACTGAGGATGTGCCCGAAACCAAGGTACGTGCCCTTGACCAGAATTGAACCCAGGACCTTTCAGTCCTCAGGCCGACGCTCTATCCATTGAGCCAAACCGGTTTTGGCTGCATATTAGCCTTTTTAATATATACTAGGGGCCCACACAGCCTGCACCCTCTCCAATCCGGGACCCTTCAGGGGATTAGGCTCAATTCTGGGAATTGGATTTACACCAGCAGTCAGACATCTCTCTCACAATCCAGGACCACTGGCTCCTAACTGCTCACCTACCTGCCTGCCTGCCTGATCGACCCTAACTGCCCCCCCCCCCCACTCCACTAGCCTAGTCACACCAAACAGCCCCCCACTCCTGCAGTCCTGGCCACCCCTAACTGCCCCAAAATGATATGGAAAATAATTTTTAAAAATAATGTGGTTTTTTTTAATGATATATTTTATTGATTTCAGAAAGGAAGCAAGAAAGAGAAATATTGATGAGAGAGAATCATCCACTGGCTGCCTTCTGCACATCCCCTACTGGCCCTACTGGGAATTGAGCCAGCAACCAGGGCATGTGTTCTGAGGAGGACTCTAAACATGACTTCTGGCTCATATGCGGATGTTCAACCACTGAGCATGGCAGGCTGGGCTAGATTGTGTTTACCTAATTCCTGACTTAGATCAGTGAAATCTACTAGCCTCCCTAGGACTCAGCATTTGCAGCACAAACTGCCTAGGGAAACAGGGTGCTCTATAACCCAAAGTCAGAGGAGGAAGCCCCAGATGAGCAGGGCGGAGGGGTGCTTCATATCTGGGAAATCCTGCTGACAATGTCAGTGGTGGTGACCAGCTTGCTTGGCCAGGGTGGAAGGCATCCACAATTGGTTTCGAATGTGCACACTGATGAGTATGAAAAAGTTTATTACTTGCTGAGGTTTTAGTGGGAGAGTAGGGTGGATATTAGAATAAGAAATAACAGAGAGCACAGGAAAAGGGACTGGCTTGTATTGATGTGGTTACTGGGTGCTTTTGGTGGAAGATTGTTGACACTATTGGAAACATGCTTGATTGAAAACCCCCCCACCCCCTCCACCCGCACCCAAAGGTGGACTTTCTCATAGGCATTCCCAGGAATAAGGTCAGGAAGGAGAGAAGAATGCATCCTAAAAGTTTTTAATATTCAAACATCAAAACTGGAATCAGGATCTTTATTTAAGTATTTTTTTTTTTCAATAACAAGGGAAGAAAATAAGCACATACAAAATTTCTTCCTAATTGTTTATCACTTCACTCTGATGATGCTGATTGTAAGAGATTCTGAAGCCAATGCAATGGAGAAACAAGGCATAAGTTTCTCTGTAAATGTATCAGTGATTACATACATGTATGACCTATTATTCAAATTATAAAATGAAACCTCTCCCAACTCATAGTCCAGAAAAATGCCAATTTTCCGTTCTTCAGTATGATTCCAGAGCTGATGTTGCCAGCATCCGTTGCTTGGGGATGCTGATATGAGAGTATTTCTGGGGAAAGATGCTTTACACAAACCTAAGTAATATAAACCTCTACCTTCTATGTTTACCATCCAAAAATGCCTGCCAGCATCAAATCCCTCAGAACTCAGGACATCTGCATAAGAAAGTGTCTGGGGATTGGAATGACCATCTAGTCCCCTATATGTCACACTTTTTCTATCACTTGAGATAAAGAGACTTGGATGGGCTGTTTCAGGATCCAGTGTCAAATCTACCTGAAACGTGCGGGTCATTTTATGCAGGCCCACATAATGTGGGGGGAGAGTGAAAATCACCTCCTTTAATTCATATGAAAAGACTGCAGGCGTCTCTAGGTTTCCATAGCTGTTGTGGATCCTTTCAATACCCGTGAGTAAGACCCGGTCTGTCTGCAAACACTTCTCTTCTATTTCAGTTAACAGAGTGTTTAGCCTGAACATGTGGTATGAAATTTGCCTTCTATTTTTAACTAGTTTTCCTTCAACATCATTCTCTTCCGTAAGTAGAGCGTTATCAAGTTCACTCTTCTCTATTTCCAAGAAAGATTTAAGTTCTCTAAATTCATTGTACAGTTTATCCCTCCATTCTCTGATCCTTACCAATGGAGTATTTTCAAATTGGACTTTATATACCTTTTCAATATTTTCAAGGTGATTAGTGAAGTCTGCCATATACTCTTTGAGCACCCACCTGTGACTAGCTGCAGCTTCCTCAATGGGGATCAGGTGCTGATCCTGGTGGTCGGAGGAGACCCTGCACCGGGAACACAACAGCTCCATGTTTTCCTCACAGAACAGGGTCAGAGCCTCATTGTGCTTCCCACACAGGGGTATTTCTTCCTGCAGTTTCCTCTGGCTCCCTGAGGTGGAGATCTGCTGAACAATCTCAGTCATGTGACATATTTGGGGGTTCCTCTTCAAGCTCCTGTCAGGGCAGTGGTGGAGGCAGACAGGACAAGGAAAGGTGCCCCGTAGACCTTCCCAGCGCTGGTGGATGCAGGAGGAACAGAAGTTGTGCCCACAGTCAATTGTCACTGGGTCTCTCAGGTGATCCAGGCAGAGGGGGCAGCTGGCTTCTGCTTGGAGTTTGGCCAGGGAAGCGTCAAAGGCCATTGTGCAGTGAGGGTGTCTATTAGAAAGGGCTCTCGTCAGTCCGTGTGATCCTGCAGGAGTGAGGAAAAGTGAGAAGCTGAGGTCTGCTCAGGCCTCCCGCTCTAGGCACTAGGAGCTTCCAGGAAGAGTTCCGGTGGACAGCTGATGTCCAGTCTTCCTGTCACCTTCTCCTGTGTTTAATGTCAAGTTCCCTGAGTAAAGATTAGCTGTGGACTCTGGTCTAAAAAGGAAGCAAGTGGTTTCTGTGGACAAAAAGAAATCAACATTTAAAGTTCAATTAGCATTAACCTTTCCCTCCTTGTATGAACATCATGTCAGGTAGTCCAAATCAGTTACTATGACAATATTTAAGGAGGAGTTAGAAGAAAAGTCTGTTTTGCAACTTACAAGGAATTAGACAATCTCAAGCATCACAAAAAAAAAAAAAAAAAAAAAAAAAAAAAAAAAGTCATCTTGTGCTGTGGGGAAGAGAGAAGGATTTATAAGCCCAGGAGCGAGGTCCTACTTACCAGAGGATGCTTCTCTGCAGAGACCCCAGCTGAAGCACCATGCACATGTGTGTCCAGGAGGCAAAACCCTCAACAGGGGATCTGGGGAATAAGAGGAAGGAGGAACATTCAACTCAAAGTCATTGGACAGGGCAGCAGAGATTCACTTCAAAGTGAAAATGACAGAATACCTCAAGAAACCCAAACAATCATGCTGTCTAAGATGGGAGTTCCAATGAACTCAATCAGGTTTCTTTTGGAGGGTCAGAGAATGGCTGATAATCACACTCCAAGAGAACTGGGAATGGAGGAGGAAGATGTGAGTGAAGTTTATCAGGAACAATAGGAGGTCATTCAATGGTTTAGATTTTCTTTTCCCTCAATCCTTTTTTATTGTTAAAAATAGTTCTTTTGTAATGTGGTGTTCCCGATGAAATGCAAATCTGACACCCCCTCCAGACTCTTTAAAACCTCTGGTAATTTGAATTCCAGTGCCCAGTATTCATTATTGTTTGTTTTCATTGTGCTGAGTTTGGGTGATCAAGCCCAAGTCTCCTTCACATTGCCCTCTCCTTTTGAAATATTACCTGTGCACAGGGAGGCCAGCCTTTTCAGGACTGTGCATTCTGAGGCTTGTGATAAATGAGGTGGACCAATGCAAGTGATCATAATACTTCTAATTGGCCCGGAAGTTCTAGCAAGTGATTGTTTCACTCCTGCACTATGACTTTTTTTTTTTCTTTTAATATATTTTTATTCATTTCAGAGAGGAGAGGGAGGGAGGAAGGGAGGGAGGGAGAGAGAGAGAGAGAGAGAGAGAGAGAGAGAGAGAGAGAGAGAGAGAGAGAGAGAGAGAGAGAGAGAGAGAGAGAGAAAGAAAGAGATATCAATGATGAGAGAGAATCATTGATTGGTTGCCTCCGGATTGAAACCCCACCCCCCAAAAAAAAACACATGGAAGGATGTAGAAATTAACGTAGACTTAAAAGCTATAATGCCAAAACCGGTTTGGCTCAGTGGATAGAGCGTCGGTCTGCGGACTGAAAGGTCCCAGGTTTGATTCCAGTCAAGGGCATGTACATTGGTTGCAGGCACATCCCCAGTGAGGGGTGTGCAGGAGGCGGCTGGTCAATGTTTCTCTCTCATCGATATTTCTAGCTATCTCTCTCTATTCCTCTCTGTAAAAAATCAACAAAATGTATTTTTTAAAAATTCATTTGGAAGTGGATATTTGAGGATTAAAAAAAATAATTGATAATTATGTTACAGTGAGATAATGAATAGCATTAGAGGTATGAAATTGTCCTGGCCTCGTAGTTCAGTTAGTCCCAATATGCCAATGTTTCAGGTTGAACCAAAGGTCAGAGTACTTAGAAGGCAACCAAAGAATGCATGACTGAGTGGAACCACAAACCAATGTCTCTTTCTCACTTGCAATCTCTCTCTCTCTCTCTCTCCCCACCTTTCTTACCCTATCCTCTCACTCTCTTATTGTAAAGAAAATAATTTTAAAATTTTAATGTAGCAATATGTAAATAGTCTTTTTTTTGAAATATATAATGAAAAGTTTACAAGTAAAATTGTAGAGATTTCTTGCACAGAAATGGCAAAAGGTTGGTACAACTATAGGTAGAAGTTGCAAAAAGTTAGTTATAGAATACAGGTTACATGAATTCATAAGATTTTCTCTCCTAGTCTGGATACCTAGAATAATCTGTAATTTACTTTTTTTTTAAAAGGTACCATTTGAATTCCATTGTGTTTCTCTGCTCCCTCCTAGCAAAGAAGGTTTCTCCTACTCCCTTCCTTAAGCATCAGCCATTTCCCTTCATCTCAGAGCTCTCTGATCCACTTCAACTGATTTCTTCCTCACAGTTTTTCAAACTGGTCCCCTTTCTTCACTCCAAATCAAACATCTGCTTTCCTGTTCCACATCCCATCACCACCCAACAAATCTCTATTGAAATAAATTGAGACTGAGAAAATACTGAGGCTGGCATTAAAGTTCTATCTCTTTGTAGGTATGTGGGCTGGATTTCAGGTCCGATCTCAGACTGCCTGTGTCACTGGGGGTGGGTTTTTCTAATATATACTAGCTAATAAAAGAGTAATATGCAAATTAACCATAACTCCAACACACAAGATGGCTGCCCCCATGTGGTAAAAGATGGCTGCCCCCATGTGGACACAAGATGGCCACCAAAAGATAGCAAGCCAGGGAGGGCAGTTGGGAGGGTCCTGGCCTGCAAGGGAGGGCAGTTGTGGGCAATCAGGCAAGCAGGGGAAGACAGTTGGGAAGGACCAGGCCTGCAGGGGAGGGCAGTTATGGAAAATAAGGCTAGCAGGGGAGCAGTTAGGCATCATCAATAAGGCTGGCAGGGAGTGGTTAGGGGGTGATCAGGTTGGCAGGCAGAAGTGATTAGGGCCAATCAGGAAGGTCAGCAGGTGAACATTTGGGAGCTAACAGTCCTGGATTGTGAGAAGGATGTCCCAGATTGGAGGGTGCAGGATAGGGTGAGAAACAACCCTCCCACCCCCACCCCCATGCATGAATTTCATGCACTGGGCCTCTAGTCTTACCTAATAATAGAGAAACATGTAAATTTTTCTACGCCCACAGCCAATCAGAGTGAATATGCAAGTTAACCCGACATACATACCTGGGTCTGGGGAACCTCCTCAGCACCTCCCAGTCCAGCCTGCCATCGGAGGGGCAGGGCTCCCTTTCCCAGGCTGAAAGCCTCTGCAGATCCTGGGATCGGAGGTGGGGATGGGGGAAGCACTTCCCAAGCCTAAAGTCTGAGGCGGAGGCTTTAGGCTTGGGGCTGTGCTGGGGGGAACCTCTTCCCAAGCTATTGAGGTAAACCTTTCGGAACATCTGGTTTTAAACACATGAATTTGACACCAGACACTGAGACATTCTGGAAAAGGATTCCCATGGATAGCTTCAGAGCAGCACTTCAGGGCACTTTGCAGAGGCAGTAATTCGTAACCCCACAGGTATCTGGATTTTTAGGAAGCATTTTGATGATGTAGGGCAAGGCTAACTGAGGGACATCTGCAATAATGAAAGCATGTATCTAAAACAACCTGAATCCCAGTGATCATTGACTTTGAGGTAAAGTCAAGGCCCTGCTCTAGAGTAGCTACCCAGAAAGCCAATGGTGAGGAGCAATACCTCCATGGTTCTGTTTGCTCCCACCTCCTGCACCAGTATCATCCCAACTCCCAGCTTACCCAGAGCCTGCTCCCTTGAGTGAGTCCTGAAGTGTGTCTCCAAGAAGAGTCTCCAAAGCCAGTCTCCTTCCAGTTAAATGCTTAGTAATGTGACTTTGGCCTATATATACCACCCTAAGAGGGTGAATGTCCTTAAGACCTCACCCACTAAGGCTCCTACCCAGAGGTGGAAGTAGTGGGTAAGGGTGGGAATAGGAGGATGTTCAGAAGTCTGATTGATGGGATCTCTTCTTATTCCTGCAGGCTAGGGCAGGATGACCTTGTTAATATGCATAATCTAATTTGCTCCTTTGTAATCATCCCTTGAATTTCTCAACACCCTTTAATCCCATCTTTGCTGAGGAAGAAACAAATTAAAAGTAAATCTTGCCCTGCATAATTTGGCTCAGTGGATATGTAAGACCTGAAAGACCCCCGGTCCAAAGGACGAGCGGCGACCCCAAATCAAACGCAGAGCCCGAGTCTTGATGCAAAGAGCAGGAGGTTTATTCCAAGCGCTGCGCAGGGACCCACAAGCAGCAGTCCAGAAAAAGACTGCCGCTTGAGAGCCCTGAACAGAGGTTAGTTACAAGCTTTTATAGGCAGAAACCACACGCAGGTGGCCTGGGGAAATTGGCAAATTGGCCTGGGGAAATGCAAACATAAGGTTGAGATTGAAATTTCTTGGCCGTTTCCTGGGCAGTTAGAAACAGGCCTGACCTTACATTCCCTCCTCTTCTCAGGACTGAGTTTCAACCCTGGAACTCATATTCTGTTTCCCCTTGCCCAGTTAGAGGTACGATACAGGGCCCGAGGGTTAGAAGTAGGAGCAGAATAAACCAATTTTCAAACCACCCCTGTTGAGCTTCTCTCAGTTTGGCCATAGAGTCCTTCACCATGCCTGAATGATCTATAAAAACAACACTCCTCTTTCAAAGCTGCACACAGGCCACCGTCCTTACTACCTCAGACAGCGAGGTCAGGGATAGTGATGGATTGTTCAATGGCTCGTATTGCCACTCTGAGCCCTTCTATACTGTGGGGTTTGGATTAAAGCTGCTGTCCCAGTCCCCACCCCGGCGGTTACCCCTAGCCCCAGCAAGACAGCTAGGGTTAGTGAAACCAGCTCTTACAAAAGAAAACCTCAGCCCCTCCACACCGCCGGGCCTCACTCCTTGTTCTCCCATAAAAGGGGAACTGATTGGGCGGGGCATCATCAAGACCCGCCGCGAGTAGGAGTCAGTGGCAGCCACCATCCCCAAAGAGTGTCTATAAGCAGTCTCCACAGTCCATCCA